CCCCCAATGGAGATCAAAGGGTCTAAAAAAAAAGGATATGTCTGGGGAAAACCCAGATGTATGGTAAACCCCATTTTAGCCTATTGCTGAAGGGTGCCAGTGGTGTTATTTACAGCAGTCCTGAAGTCTAAGAGAGTAAGGAATTAGGCTCAATGTTATTAATTTGATGCTAATGGAGAGTGAATTCATGCCCTAAATGAATAATTTGTACATCAGTGCCAACCAAGTTAAAAAGGAAAGCAGTTTTGTCTTTGAAACGGTACCTTATTGTAAATTAGCTGATACTCGGCTGTAACTTCTCCATATAACAATACTATGTTCAGAGAAAGGGTGAAATAAATTTCCATCAACAGCATTAGATGGCTATAAGTGTAATTGTAATCTTTGCCTGATTAGCTTTGGTTAAAAATAAAAATGCACAATAAGTCTCACGAGGCTGTATGATTTAAATGTAGACTGATGTTACCCCAGGAAAACATTTTCTCTTCATTTCCTTAGGTTATCTTCTTTTAAATATAATGCATCACCCGGAGTGTTTAGAACTGCTTCAAAAAAAAAATACTGAACCAGCACTGAACTTTTTCTAAGCATGCTGAAGTTAATAAACTCTAATTCTCTTAAAGCTACTAAAAGCTTTTTGTAATTAAAATGGATGTAATCTTTCAACATTGGATTCTGCTATTGCTATAGGACTTGAATGCATTTGCAATTGATTTCTGTTTTTTCTCAAAACCAGAGAAACATACAGGGCATGTCTACACGTTCCCATATGACAACATTGCTATGGTGCTGTGCTTTAGTACATCCTTTTGGAAGTACTAAGGTATGGCACAGTAACTGCCTGTACTGAGCCGTGTGTATGGCACATGGTTAGATTTTGCCGCTACTTCACTGTAGTAGTGCACTAAAACAGGGAGTACACTGCTACAGCGAAGGAGCTGCTGATCACATGCAGACTCATGCGATCGCTATATTGCTGTAGCATGTCATATGGCAACCTAGCACATCGCTGCACTGACACAGGGTAACATGTAGATGCACCCACACAGTAGCTGAATAACTAGATGTTGAAAGAATCTGTTTCTTGAATGATTGCCTTTTGATCCTTACATTTACTGCTTCTGAAGCAGTGTTTTCCTCTGCTTGCGTAATTCCATGCTGCTATTCTTTTAGTTATAGAAGTGCCTGCAACAGACGTTATGTTACATTATGTTAATGCTACTTGCATTTTGCCTATTTATATATCTGGAAGAGGAGGAACTTTATTTTCAATGAGAGCTATTATTGCTACCTGGACACCACCAACTCTGCAGTAGCTTGAGCAAAAGCTTCTTTATCACTGCAATTTGAATACAATTGCATAAGAATAGCTGCAGTAATGGGTGTGAACATTTCCACAAAAGAAAAATACAAGGAAAGAGTTGGATAAAAATAATTAGCAACAATCATTTAGCTCTGGAGACTGAAGTGGTTTTGCTTCTGAAGACCTTGCATAGTCATGGACAAATGTTTTGCAGTCATTTTGACTTCTGTCCTCTCTTCTTATATCCAGACTCATCAAATACTATTACTCCTTCTTCAAAATCTTTAATGTGTTTCTAACTCTAGTGCTAAAACTGATGATCACTCCATAGTCATATCTCACCTGAATTGCAACTAGGTTGTACATCAAAGTTACCAGCAGTCCACTAAATTCTGAATTCCCTGCTGTGTATCAGAATCTGATCTCATTCATTATCCAATATGGAATAACTCCATAATTATAATTATATAATTAAGATCTCAAACCTTTACCAAATGCTGAGACTTGCTTGCCCTTCTCTAGGCAAAATTCTTAATGTTATCAGAGCCAAATCCTGAACTCAGCTCTGACTTAAGCAAGATTTTGTATGCTTCTTTAGAAGCCTTGCTTGAGTTAGATTACAGAATTTGGATGCCAGAGTAAGAGTTGTTTACTTCAATCTTCTATACATAGTTATACATAACATATATTTCTGTAATGGGGAGCCTGTAGATGTGGGGTCAGTTATACTGTGCACATTCAGTATGCAATTTCCAAATGGCCATGTCAATTTGATTTCCAAATCAATTTTCAATTTGATTAATTAAAACTAATTTATTTCCAAATCGATCAAAGCTAATATCCTCAGCATGGACATAGTAATAGTCCTTACTAAATTTAATCTCTCAGAGCTCTTTTTTTGTTGTTGTTAATAGCTAATTAAAACTTGCGTGAAAGATTTTTGTAATGGGGAAAGGTACTTTTCTTCTCTCATAACATAAATATGGATGAAGGAATTTCCCTCCTTTAGTAAATAAGAATACTTCTCTAAAGTTATTAAAGTTTTTATTTAAATATCTGTGAGTTAACACAACTAAATAACTGGTAGCTGCCTATGGAGACTTTAACAACTATGTCAGTGTTTTAAATTTTCCCGAGACAAATGGTGACTCAATCTCCAAACCAAATCCTGGCACTGAAGGCTTCACCTAGTTAATCCAGCTGTAAATGGTTACCCAGTCATTTAGGCAGGGGAGTCAAAGATAGCCAGATACAATACTAGCCACCTCACTACCTTGTGTAGCTATAGAAACTAAACCATATAAGCCCAATTGGCTGTTAGACACTGATGGACTTTTGCTGTTTTCTAAAAAATTGCTGTTCAAATGCTTAAGGCAGTTGCTATTTAACAGGTGTCCATATCAAAGTCTTTAGCAGGATGGTATGGGTAAAATTTCTCATCCTTAGAAGAACTCCCTTTAGGCCAGAGTAGAACCATGCTTGCAGGGAGAAAAGGAAAAGGAGAAGGTTGCCAGAGCCATACTGTAGCAGGGCACTAAGGTGCCTGCTACTGACAACAGTATTACGAGCTCAGCTGCCAATCACCAGGGCAGCACAGGTGCAGGTTGCTGGGGCAACCAGTCTGGTCAGCTGACCAGAAGGGGGCAGGGCGTGGCCTGGCCTTTATAAACAGCCAGGCTGAGGCCGGAAGGGCAGTTCCCTTCTGGCAGCTGTGAAGGAGAGAGCTCTGCCAGGAGTAGGCAGAGTTGGGAAGCCTGATGACCTGAGCAGCTCCTGAGTGAGGATACCAGGCAGAGGAGCCCTGGCAGGGATGGAAATAGTGATGAGCCAGAGAGCTTAGGGTTTACGTTTTGAGCCAGGAGGCTTTGTTTGAGTTACAGCCAAGTGGCTTATGGTTTTGGTTATTTGTTATGACTGGAGGACTGGGTGAGGCTGTAGGGGTTGGAGGAGGCCTCATGGGAGCTCCCCAGTAGTAGGGGGGTTCCTGGCGCTGTAGAGGGTGCTGCGTTTTGGGGTGTCCTGACCCCGGCCCCAGTGTGGGCAGCTTCGGGAGGAGCCCAGTGTGGACGCAAACAAGAGGCCCCAGTGGGGCACAGGACCCAGAAAAGGGGTCTGGGGGCCAGGTAGGGCTGAGGCCGCCTGAGCCCCAATTGTGGGAAAGCCCCAGTGGAGCGTAGGACCCTGAAAGGGGGTCTGGGGGCCAGGTAAGGCCAAAGCCACCTGAGCCCTATTTTGGAAAGCCCCAGTGAGGCGGAGGACCTGGAAAGGGGGTATGAGGGCCAAGTAAGGCTGAGGCTGCCTGAGCCCTATTGAGCAAGGCCCCAGTGTGGGTGTGATGATGGAGACAGGCCCCAGTGTGGACGTGAGCACAAGCAAGGCCCCAGTGGGGCAGTGTTGTGCAGGAAGAGCCCCAGGGAGGGCGTGAGTGCGAGCAGAGCCCCAGGGAGGGTGAGAGTATCGTGTAGAGCCCCAGGGCGGGCGCACGGGATGAGAGGCCCCAGGAGAGGGCGAGTACACTGAGAGGCCCCAGGAGAGGGCGAGTATGAATAACTGACTCAACAACGTCCGGGACACCTGAGAGGCTTGGGGCGTGGTATAAGGGGTGGTAGGAGCCACGCACAGCCCATAAGGCGGGGGCACAAGATCGACCTACGGGGGACAAGGGCCAGGGTAAATATGAGCACCATGGCCAAGGGGTAAAGGAAAGGCAGCCTCCCTTACAATACTTTCACCATCAAAGACGTGGTGGGCAAGAATGAGGGTGCTTGACACACAACTTGGCATGGTAGGGGGCGCCAGGAGAGATCACGGCCTCTCCTGGGTCCCCACCCTGTGACACATACCTTCGTTATGACTAAATGGGACTTCAGCATTGATTATTGCCAATCGCAAACCTGCTATTAGCACAGGCATTCACATTTTAATTCTATTGATTGTGCTTATAAAATAAATTAATCTGTTCTGTACTCTTCACACATTGGGGAAAGTAGTACAGCAGTGTATAAGACAATAGAAGATAAATTAATTTTTCCTAGGATTCGAGCCAGTTATTGCCAATGTGTCTGAACCAGTATTCTCCCTTGTGCTCTGTATTCCATACTGCCCCGAGGGATATTTATTCTCCTTATCTGTTCCAGTTGTCCACCATTTTTCAACAAAGGAGAGGCGCGTACGAGCAATAAAGGAGATGGCTCGTATCTTGAGAATAGGAGGCCAGATAATGATATACGTGTGGGCAATGGAGCAGAACCGGCGAAAATTTGAAAAGCAAGATATCTTTGTTCCTTGGAATCCATCACCTCCTTCCTGCGCATCGGGTAACCCTTGTTCACGTGGAATATGGAAACTGATTAATCAGAAGGACAAAAAGCTGGCCTTGAACCAGCACTCCCACAAGTCAGATGGGCCTTTGGAAGCACACATGAAAGCAAGGAGTTCATCCTATGAGGGGGAGAAGGAAATCATGTGCACATTGTTTGAAAAATCCCTGAGATGGTCTCTAGTCTCAGAATCACTTGGTTCAGCATTAGACTTCAGTAATCAGTGGCACCAAGGAGAGATTTGCACATACTGCACTTACAATTTTCAGCTGAATGAGCCAGATGGAAAAACGGATTTTGAACAAACAAGGCAAAGTAGCTTTATGAAGCATATTTCCAACTTGCTTCCAAGCTGCAGACAGATTTCTGAAGATAATGCTTTTGAAGTGGCCGTGGAACCAGGGCCACTTATGTCATATCACTCTGCGGCCTTCAAAAGTTGTTCAGAATTAAGCCAGGACACTAAGCAGCTTCCAGTAGCTGCAGATATAATTCATGATGGCAGCAGAGTGTGTTTACCTGACCTGGTTTCCCACAACAAAGACCCAGCTGTCAGACAGCAACTTAAAATAGATCACCACTCAAAACAAGTAGCTTTTTGCAGACCCCAAAACAAAAGCAAAATAAGCAGTTCTTTGGAGGGAACAGGTAAAGAGGATACAATAAGCACACACAACAAACAGCAGCAAATAAGCTCAAATGGGGCTTGTCTTAGGTATTACCATGTCTTTAAAAAAGGGGAGTTGGCTGAACTGATAGAACATCAGGTTCCTGAGTTACGTATTATTCATTCATACTTTGACCATGCAAACTGGTGCGTAATTGCAGAAAAGACACCTGGGTGGAACATTTAGCAGATGATTTTGAAAGACACAAAGGGCAGTAGGTAACTGACTTATTGAAAGTCAATAGGAGTTCAGTACCTTTGAAAACCTTATACTAAATCCTTTTATTCTCATTGCTTTTATGCTCTAACTTTATTTCTTTTACTCTGTGAGTTCCACAGTCATGTATCTTGTCAAAAACATTTTACTTAAATATTTTCTTTTTTGGAAAATAGTCTCCCATCATCCCAGCTTTTTTTTTTTTTTTTTTTTTTTTTTTAATCAATAACTGTCAGTTTTGTTTTCAAATAGTTAAAATGAATTTAGAAGTTCTCCCTGTTGGGATATTTTTATGTAGATGTTAAAGATCGCTATTCATTTGTAATAATATAATTATAATATCTTTAATGCCTGTTCATATATTTAAAATGTGCTGTGTATTGGGGTTTGAAATAATGTAAAGATAACACTAGAAGGATTCACTGTTTTTATTACAGTCTACCTGTCAGCCCATATGAAACCTCCAGTTATGCTAGAGATAGTCCTCATGCAAGAGAAGTACCAGTTAAATTTAACCCACATACCAGAGATGGTAACTGGGGACACTGTCATATAGATTTAAGAGATCCTTGCCTGTTGCCCTATAAAAATTACTGCCAAAACAAAAAGAAAAATTCTTCCTCAGGATATACCACATCCAGACCCTGGAAAACTAAATCTTAAAGTGGGGTATTTTCTATATTTGACATATAGATTCAAAAGTAAAGTGTCTTTTTGTCAGCTAAAGTGAGATAAGAATTAAGGAGATTTTAATAGCTCACTTAAATCTTTAAAACAAATGAGGATAATACAGAAAAATGCTTGGATGACTATAAGTGAAAGAAATATTTGTCAAAAGAAACATGCAGTAATAATGCTTTTTTAACCTTTCATTTGTACAAAGGAGATCAGTTTCATTAAGTCTATTTTACATATGAGGAAACTGAGGTACAACTTCCAACAGAGCAGATCCAAGTTTAAAAAAATGGATTGTGTTCCTGTTGGTCCTCATGATCACTATTTATGTGATTCAGATTCTTATTCAAAGAATACTATACTTACTTATTTTCTTTGTATTCAGGAATCACAAAACCGACGAGTAATCCTATTTTCTCAGGAACGAGTTATATGCAATGCCCATGAACATTCTTAATGTGCTTATTAAGAGCAGCTGCATATTATACCTTCAAGAGAAAATGCACAGTAATCCAAATGTCTCTAATATACTTTTAATTCAATTTCATATAATACCTCTAATGAAATTTTCTATATTTCCTGCAGCAGAGTTGACATAATGTCTTGTGTACTATATCTTAACTTTGCTGTGGTAGACGTTGGGTTATATAATTGTTCTCTTTCAGTCTTCAGTGTCTGCTTTACAATATTAAGGTTTTTTCCAATAAAGTGAACATCTTTTGCAAATGAACAAGGTATAAGAATTTCCAGCTATAAAATGTGCAAGGGTTCCCATTCTCTGTGGGACAACTAGCAGTGGCACAAATATATGCGGCTGCTGTTTGTCCCTGGGCATACCCCTGCATGCATGCTCTGGCACGCGGCAAATTGCCCCGGGTGGGGTAGGGGAGGCTAAAGCCAGCACCTGGGGTGGCCCTAGCAGCCTTACCTGGGACGCTGGGGGCCTCCCAGGGCAGAAGCAGCATGCCAAGATGGCCACTCATAGCCTGGCTAACAGCCAGAGCATGACCGGCCAGCCAGACTTCCCTTCTGCTGGCGCATGCTGTTGTTGCATGCACCACAACACTTTTTTTAGTGGTGGGGGTTTTTTTGACACTGGGAGATCCTGGCTTCAACCCCCACCCACCTGCCCTGCAAATTAGCAGTGCGGCAAATGCATGCACATGTGCCATGGGCACACTTGTGGGGATGCACCCATATAAGCATCGTTGGAATTTGATGTGCCTGGGTCTTTATATACGCTGTACAGCTTTTTCTTTGAGATTACATGAGGCTGCTGCCTGCATGAGTTAGAAGCAGCAGGATAGCCACTCTTAGGTAGTACTCCTTGACTGCTATTGGGCGGATGGGCTACAGGTACAAACTGTCAGTTTGGGGCAGGGGATTGACTGTCCATGACAACTTCTCCATTAAGACATTAAGGTACTTGAAGGCTAAAGGGTGAAGGCTGTTTTCCCCTCCTACATTCCCAGTTGGACCAGGAGCTATAGACTTCTTTCCAACTGAACCAAATGAAAATGGCTTCTACTGCATTACTTTGACTACTCTATGGGAAGAGCCCATGCAGTTGGAGATACCAGAAAAGAAACACTTGACCTTTCTCAGCAAAACAGAAAAGAGCTTGAAATGCAAGCTTCAGAGTGCGACACAGGGCAGCGTGATGTCCAACCTTTTTGACCTGCCATCTCCCACAGATTGAAGGAGTTGGGCCATAGGCCTACTCTCCCATGAGAGAAACTCACAGTTTCTTCTCATTCTTTTCCTGCATCTCCCCTCTGTTTGTGGCTGTCTCCAGACCACTTTCAAACCGGCTCCTGCTGCTCCTTCCCAAATCCCTAGATCTCTATTTAAAATGTGCAAATTCATTTGTGAGGCAGGTGGAGGTCATCCTGTCAGACAGCTAACTGGTCAGTATCATCTGGTGGCACAGACTTTGAAATGACCCTCAGTAGAACACAGCATGCACAATAAGACTTCAGTACTAGTGCTGGGAGCCAGTAACATAGCAATTATCATCACAGTAGGATCATCATAAGTAATATAGCAAGGATGATACATATGTGGAAATAAGAAAATCCCCTTAAGTAGATTGTGTAAGGTGCCCACATCTCTTCACAAAAAGAGTTAAAAGTCACTGCAGGCCACCTGCTGGGCATTGCATTAATGATTAAGTGATCAGTCATTTAAATGACTTTCAGTGACACTTATCACTGATGAGCAGGGATCCTGGTTTTCTCTGATTCAACATTGCAGATTCTCTGATTAAAACCCCAAAATCAGATGGTTGGGGGCAGAGGGAATGGGGGGTGCTGCCAGCCCCAGACGGCACACCACAGCCAGAAGCAGGGTCGGGGGTGAGGGCAGGGGTGCCCCTCTGCGGGGGGCTTTGTGGGCAAGCAATGCAGGGTGCAGTGTGGTGGTGCCTGCCATGTATGGGGCCACACACACGCCGCCTGTCCGGTTGCCCAGGGGAGGGGGAGGAGGCTTGCATGCAGCCACCTGCACAGCTCCATGACCGGCTCTGCAGTGACAACGAGGGATGGGGGCGGTGGGGCTTGCACATGACGGCCACTGCCACTTACCTGTAAGACCATGTCAGCAGTGACAGTTGCTGCCTACAAAACCTCCCTGTGCTGCCACGGAGCTGTACCCAGAGCTGTGAGGCCGGCCACAGGGTGGCAGCAGCAGTGTGGTGGTGGCTGGGCAGCATGCAACCATCCCCAGCACCATCTCGTGCCGCACGGCAGCCATGACCACCACCACACTGCTGCTGCCGCCCAGCGGCTGGCCGCACAGCTCTGTGGCGGCGCGGGGAGGTTTTGTAGGCAGCGGCCATCATCGCTGGCACAGCCCTACAGGTAAGCAGCAGCAGCCACTGCATGAACCCCCCCCACCATCATCCCTCACCCCTGCTGCAGAGCCGGCCATGGAGATGTGCAGCCGGCCACATGCAAGCCTTCTCCTCCCCTTTCCCTGGGCAGCCGGCCGGGCAGCACATGTGCGGCCCACAAGTGGCAGACACCACCACACTGTGCCCTGCATCGCTTGCCTACAAAGCCCACTGCAGAGGGGCACCCCACCCTCACTTCCTGGCCCTGCTCCCAGCTGTGGTGTACTGTCTGGGGCTGTCAGCATCCCCCACTCCTCAGCTACCAACCATCTTCCCCAGCCCTGCCCCTCAGCCCCACTTACCTCTAGACTCCAGGGGTGAAGGGTGAGTCAGAGCCTGAGCCCAGCCTTGGCTGCCTCAGAGGCTCAGGCCCCTCCGTCCCTCATCTCCCTCTCCCTCTCCCTCTCCCTCCCCCTCTGGGCAGGGCTGGGGGGTTCCTGCCCTTTCTGCAATCCAGGCTGGAGCTGTGCCAGCCTGCAAGAGCTCTTTGCAAAAGCGGAGAATCAATTTCTCTGCAAAAATGGGAAATCTGTGTTTTCTCCAATAAAAATAGGGAATCCGTGGTTTTCTCCATTTTCCCGTGGGAAATGGAAAACCCGGATCCCTGCTGATGAGGCATCTTTTTACGTGGTTGTAATAGATGAGGAGGTAGAATGGAGATGCCTCTCTGAGCTGCATATGGTCTTTTGTAGAGCTAGGCAACCAGAAATGCTTTGGTACCAGCTCACCATAAACAGCAATGGTTTTTGATTGACTGCATCAGTGTGGCTGGAGTGATGATTTAACACTCCTGGTCTGAGAATAAAAGATTTATCTGTGGTGGTAGACAACTGTCAGCACACCACTATGACTGGGGGATAGACCCAGAACACCACCAGCCCTGATTTTTTTTTAATAAAGAATCTGAAGTTTTGCACATTTTGCTACATTTTTGGATGACAAGACACTAGGGACACTGACAGACGTGGAAAAAAACAAACAAAAAACCCAAGAGCTTTACTGGAAGAGGAAGCGTGTTTAACACAGCTCTCCAGTGTCTAGATCAGGCACTTCAGTGGGGCTTTTTTATCCTTTTATCTAATAGTTGACTCAATATATATTGGATATCTATCAATTTAATGCTTGCTGAACAAAAAAGTATGGATCACGTCCCAAGAATACAACAGCCAAGGTGCATGTAAAGCTTGAACAAGCAAATTCTACAGAGTTTTTGGATGTTAAGAGACTACTTTTTCAGTCATCGAAAACAGCTAAAGTCCCAAGGCAAAAAGTTGATGGCTTAGGGCGTTGAATGACCTTGCTAATCATTTCAGTTTTAACAGAAACATTTCCAAATTGCTTGAAGTTAGTGGCAAAACTCCTTGACTTTTTGGAGTCTTTTTGGAGATGCACAATGAAGTTATGGTATGTAACTTTTTGTGAATATGCACACTATATTGCTAATAACAATATGGAATATGTCCAGTACAAGGGTAATTCCTTTTTGCCAGTTATATTTACCTCTTCTCTCTTGACAGTGAAGTGAATATTCAAAGATCAAGAGAAATGTTTTAACTTTCTGAAACCATGAAAATATTT